GCTCGCGGCCTTCCTGGGCGGCGGCCATCAGCGCGGTGACGCCTTTGCTGCTCTGCAGGTTGAGCTCAGCGCCGTGCCGCAGCAGCAGCTCGACCACCCGCTCGTGGCCGTGGTGGGCGGCGAACATCAGCGCGGTGTCGTCGTTGCTGCTCTGCAGGTTGAGCTCCGCGCCGTGCCGTATCAGCAGCTCGACCACCCGCTCGTGGCCGTTGTCGGCGGCGCACATCAGCGCGGCGCCACCGAAGCTGTTCTGCAGGTTGACCTTCGCCCCGTGCCGTATCAGCAGCTCGACCACCCGCTCGTGGCCATTGCGGGCGGCGCCCATCAGCAGCGTGAGGCCGCTCACGCCGCCTCTCTCGTACGTCGCGTCGACCCGCCCGCCGCCCTCGAGCCACGCCAGCAACGCCTTCTCCTCGCCACGCTCCGCTGCTGCGATGACCTCGTCGGGGGCTGCCGCGGCACCGCTCGGCGCCCGCCCCGCCGCAGCCGGCGACAGATTACTCGGCCGCACCCGCACGCTCTCGCCGCCGCCCTCGAGCGCGACAGCGTACCGCCCGCCGTCGAAGCTCTGCGCCACGCCCCGCTGCCCGTTCAGCTCGGGACGGGAAGAGAGGCCGCCGAGCACGACGCGCTGCCCGAGCAGCGGCGCGTCCACGGCTGCCGCTGCCGCGCCCGAGGAAGCGCCGCCCGCCCCCGCCCGGCCGGGGGGGGCCCCGCTGATTTGCTCACTTGCGCCCATGGATGCGCCGGGTTTGTCTTGTTGTACGTGCGGGGCGTGTCCCGTGGGCCGCGCGGGGGGCGGGGGCGCGCAAAGATGCGGGTGGAACGAGGCGAGGGGTTTAGGCCATGGTTTCTTTTAGTTGTAAAATTCTTTTAGTTGTGTTGTTTAAATTCTTTTTGTTCATAAATGGCCGAAGATTTGGTTAACGCGATCCACCCAGGCGTGTTTTCTGGCGGCCGACCGTCGGTGCACGGAGTTGCCCCTTCAGCCTTCTCCGACTGCCCCAACTTGAGCACTTGAGCATGGATAGGGTCGGTTCCGCATGGTACGGGACCCCTCGATCGTCTCGCCCACCCTCACTGGTGTGTTCATTGGGGGGGGTCATATAAACAAACACACGGTACAGGATCGAGGTGCACGCTGCCGAGGCAGTGTCATCCCCCCTCTCCCCGACGGCGATGGCGGTGTGACCGATCGAGCTACAAGAGGAGCTTGGTCAGCAGGATCCGGGACAGGTCTGATGCACTACGAACCTCACTGGGCCTGAGATCACCGAGACAGCGCCCGTCACCGTCTCGGATTCGCGTGGGATCGAACCACTCCGGGATGAGAGGGCTCATCAATTCGGATTCAGGGTTTCTCATCTGCGGGGGGGCAGCGGGGAGGGAGATGTGTGTCGATCTGATTGGAGCGGCCGCGGGCCGGGGCGGCGCGGGGAGGGGGGGGGGGGGTGCGACGGCCGGGGGGCGCAGCCGGTTGAAAAGGTACGCGTTGAGGCAGCTTGAGGACGTACTGCACACGCAAATCACGTCTTTAAGTTGTACTTCACACGCAAATCATGCTCCCCATCATACTCTCTCGCCCTGGGGGATGTCTAGCGTTTGTTCCGTTTCCCCGGAAGTTGCCAGCCCTCCTCACCCCCGGCTCCCCCCGAGGGGCTGCCCCAATCCACCCGCCCCCCCCGGATCCCCCATCTCCCCAAAAACGCCCCCCTCCTCCCCGCCCTCCAACCCCACGGCCTCCTCCTCAGTCGGATCCCTCCCCCTCTTTTTCCCCGGGTCCCCCCCGCCCCCCCCCCCCCCCTCCTCGCCCACGTCCCCCCCCTCTCCGCCACCCCCCTCCCCGTCCCGCGCCCCGAGCCCGGGCGCCTCCTCCCCGCACCCCGCGCACAGCACCCCCCCATTCGCGGAGAGCACCCCGTCCTCTTCATGCAGCCCCGGGCTGTCTCGTCCATAGGCGTGCCGGAGGTAGAAGGTCGACAGCACCCCCATGCGGGCCGCCGTCTCC